GAATTCGAGAGGCAGCTTTCACGAAGCTTTGTTTTTTGAATTCTCGATCCATCGAGAAGTTGTCCAAATGTTTGAATAAATGGAAATCTGTTGGTGAAAGACCTGATGAGTAGGGTGAATGAAGGAGAGCTTCAATCCAGAGCCCGTTCAACTTCTGGAAGACGATTTGTGGCAGGTCGATCGAATGCGGCCGCGCATTGTCGTGCAAAAGCAGGCGATTCACTAGTGCTGGCTGCATTCGCCCTAGTTTCGTGTACATCCCGTGAATTTGATCACAGTAAGACTATGCGGTAATGCTTTGATCGAACGAAGGAACGAGTAGTGGATCGATCCATGGCTGGACCACCGAATTGCGATCATTGTCTTCTTTACGTGTAAAATTGGCACGAGAAAAGTTTCTGGAAGCTTATCTACACCTAATCACCGAGCATAGCGTTTTCTGAAGTCATATGCTATCCAATTTGCACCACACGTTACAATACGATGAGGGAATGGCTCAATATCATTTGTTCTCAGCAAAGATCTGAAGAACTTAGGCGCCTCGAATGCTGCTGCTCCGGAAGTTGGTGTGGCACCCACTTGTAAGTTTTTTCACCATCCTAAGCTGCTTGAGGTGGTCAACGACGACTGTGTGCGAAACGCTCCTATGCTTGGTAATCTCTATTAAATGTCTAATTTCTCCGTGCTCTTAGCGAAGCATCGTGATCAACTAACGATGGTCAAGTGACTCGCTCTTGCCCTTCTACTATCTTGTTTCCCTTTCTAAACTTCTGAAAACAAAGACGGACCGTCCGCTTCGATGCAGTGCCTTCTTCCCACGCTACGTTGATGTTTACGGCTGCCTTCTTCCAAGTTCGACTAAGCTTGAACCCATTAAGTGGAACCGTTTGGGAAACGGCCTTATTCATTCCGAAAACGTCTTGAAGATTCCGAAGAATACTTGAGGAGTTTCGATTAAAGTGCTATGGCAGAAAGTACAGCTTATAGCTAACCTCATGAGCACAATACGTCGATTGGTCTAATTCGACAGCCGTCAGAAATTGAATACATATGACCTGTCCGCGGAAACCACAAGAACCTTCCTTCCTAATATAAAGCGCTCGCGTCTGTCTGTCCGTGTGTCTGTCTGTTTGCACGGGAACTCATAAGTTCCGTTCCGTAGAACCTAGAACGTTTAAATTCGGTATGAGCACAGGCAGCAGAATAGAAATACTCACGGTGGGTGACAGGACCAGACCTTGCTTACAGGGGGCTGGATTTGCAAGAAATAAATATTGGAAAACGAGAAAACCGTAATTCCTGTCCCCGTAGACCTAGAGCGTTCAAACTTGATAAGAGTACAAGAGGCATGATGGAAACTCATTCTCAACTCACTCATTGTAGCTAGTAGGAAGACATGTGACATGTGGGATGTGAGGGGGTCGAATTGATAACAACTGATACCAGCTGATAAGTAGCCCCAAAAGCAAGACCCATCTACGAAACATTAGAACTCCGACGGAGAAACTAGTTTGGTGTTAAGGGTATGTAGTTTTGGTTCTTCAGAATGTTTCATTCGATAAGACGGGATGGTAAAGTAGGGTGACACAAAGTTAGTGGTAAGTGCAGTGATGAGGACCGAAGCTTCTTTATTGTGAAGAGATGGAGGTTAAGTNCATTTGATGCTGTTATATTATGACCGCTATCCAGCAAGGTTTCTGACTCAATGAGGGATCACGATTCTTCTTTGTTTTATATCATTCGCTACAAAACTTATCCAACCGCTGATATTCTAGTAGCTTCTACTAATAATATATCCTTAGGAGAGAAGTTCCATTAAGAACATCCACCTATTCTCGCATTCTGCTTCTCCTTGAGATATAAGGAGTCAGTAGGCTTTTTCAGAAGATTTTGCTCATAAAGACGGTGAGCACATCCAGTTGCTGTTGAAGCAATTAAATGAGCTTTTTTTACTTTCATACGGAGTGAAGCTCTGTGAGCCATTCATTGAAGTAACTTTTATGCGAAGCATTACTTTTGACTACAATCGCAGCACTGCGTATCCACATCGATTAAGTGATTAATTAATATGATGCACGCGTTAGCGTGCATAGCCCAACTGGTAAAGTATCATGATCACGAAACTTCTCTGCCAGTGACCTCGAGCAGTGGCTCGGGCAGAACACTTTATATGAGTAATTGGTAGATCCGTATCCTTGGTGGCGGTAGTGCGCGTCGTAGAACAATGCTCTCTTTATGGTGGATTTCAACATGAGTGAAGTTTGATGGCACGCGATGACCTATTGACCACACACCAGCCCTTACAGTGATTCTTCATGAAGCATAAACTCTCCTCAATCTTGGTGAATGAAGTTTCTTGCCCCCCGTTGAATGAGCAAAACTGCATTGTTTATAACTTTTCGATATTATGTGGGAATTCTGCTCTACACACAGGGATGGGCTCATGATATTGAATAAACGATCATTTCTGTTTACAGACGCCAACAAGGCAAACCGTAATGAACTAAATACTATGGGGCAAAATAAGTGCGCATCACAGAGTCCAAATAGGAACTCGACAGCGCAGTTTCCAAAAGGCGTCGCACAACTTCTGCAGTACCTCTTGGGAAACGGATGTTCGCGATCTCAGTAAACTAGTTTCTTAACCTTGAGCTTCGATACGCACATGTTTGACATCTGCTCCAAGGTTGTTGTCTGCCTCGACTACTGGGATTGTGTCGCATCGTATCGCATTGCTTCTTCGTTATCTATCGTTATCTATTTTCCAATTAGTTAGTTTTCAAGGCATTCCTTCCGTTAAGAATCTCCATGGAAAATTGCGACCTACCGCGCTAGCGGCCATCCTAATGTTCCTTTGACATTGCGAGGAATCCGGTCACGGAATCGCTCTGTGCAACTGTCATCAAGATATGAGCAAATTTTCCTGCCCACCTGATCGTTTTCTTGGCATAAGCGACGGTATCCTTGATCTTCGTTCGTTGGGCTTGAGACTCCGAAATCTCTTCTGCGCTTGCGTGTATGACAGAACTCCTGGCTTTGTCCTTTTGTAAGCGAGTTGAGCAACGCTGACAGCATGTTCTTCCTGCTTTCGTAGAGTTCAAGCCTCAGAGAAGTACTTCAAAACGGGATTGGCAGTGCTGTCGATAAGGCAAGCGCGAAGCCGGATGTTCCTTGTCTTCTTCACCACTCCCCCATATTCATGGATACTCCTCACGCCGCGCTCCTACTCTGCTCGGATCCGTAGCTGGGTAATCATCTTGGCTTTTCGACCTATATTCAAGTAGGTAGAGCAAACAGAGGAGGATCCTTGACTTTGACTATTTTGTGGAGAGAGTTAGCCTTTTGTGAAACTGAAAGGTTTTTGCCCGTACCACTAAAGCAGACATTCTTTCATGAAGTCGGTTTTCGTGAGATGATCTAATGCGTTACAAATGTACACTTCCTCAACCCTCTGAGCAATCTTTCCGAGAAATGCAGAATGCAGAAAGGTTCTTACAAAGCTTACCATGTCCACTGCTCCCAGACAGAGCGTTGGTATAACGTAGTCAGTAGACATATCAGTTTTCTAAGTGACCCGTATTTTTGAAGAGGTAGCTGTCACACGCACACTCCTACCAACCTTCGATACAGAGTTCTCCCTGAGAAATGCGCATTTGCAGATCTAATGAACAACGGTCTCGCTACGTGGAATTGAAGGCTTTTTCACGCATCATGGAGATAATTCGTAATTGTGTAAGGTTGTCGGTGAAAGTCTTTGCACATTTTCATTTCCATGATGTGAAATTTTTGGGGATTGCTTCAGAACGTTGGTCGCGGAATATGTGCAATTACATATCAGTGCGCCCTTGATACCATATCTGCCGTAGCATTTCGCAACGGATATGACTGGAAGAATAGCTCGCGACCCTGAGCAAGTTAGACTGCTTCTGCTTTATGTGTATTTTTGAAAATGTCAGTACAAATCGTGCGACAAGGAACATACATATGTGATGTCGTGAGACCCTCTATTGTCTCTTACACCCCGAAAAGGAATTGATACCAAAAGTTCTAAAATGACCAATTTGACCAAGCTAAAAACCACGGTATGGGAGACCAGCAAGGCTGACGACCACATTCCGAAATTGGTTGAAGAGTATTCCAAGTGTAGTATACGACAGCTGAAACAGGAGCTCACTAGTCATCACGATACAGTAGCCGATCATTTGCATTGCCTCGGAAACCATGAAGATACGGAGTATGGATAAGTCATGAGCTGAGTGGTCACCACCTCCAAATACAAAGAGATGCACGCTTGAACTCGTTAACTTCCCGACGTACCTTCGCATGGCTGGAAAGCTCAATCATCGGCGGCGAGAAGTGTATTCTCTTCGTAAACCAGACGAGGTAGCGCCAGAGCGCGTAGAGCATGGAACTCCGACTTCCAAACCAGAACTCCAACCCAAGAAGGCAATGCTTGGCGTTTGGAGCCATTCGGAAGGGGGTCGTTTACTGAGAATTGCTGCCACCAAATTCCACCGGCGGCACAGAAACCTAGTGTATTCTGATGGATCGCGTTGCTGCAGCTTTAAGAGTGAAACAGCGGAAAGTCCACTTTTTCCGCGTCAATGCTCTCACATGTATTGCAAAGGAGATTCAAAAGTAACTACAAAGCTTAGGATGGCATTTTCTGACCCATCCACTATATTCACGAGAGGCCGTTCCAACAGTGTGGCACCTGCTTCTGTCACTATCAGGCTATTTTAAAATGCGAACTTCGATTACATAAACCAACTCGAGACGTGCATCGGCTAGTTTTATTCCTCAGGAATTCCATGCAAGCGGAATCCATGAGTCGCCTGATAAATGAGAATACCTTGTAATGACGTACATGTATTTGTTCAGTTGTTGGTTGCTGAAGGAAAAATCGAGTTGAGAAAAATGCAAAATGTGCAAACTTTTCCGAGTAGCCTAATATTTACGTCAGAGGCGACCTTATCCCACTTCGAATTATGATGAACATTCTACTGCGAATGCGCAGTCGGGCTCACCGTTAAAAACTCCACTATTGAAGACCCATTCTCCGCGAATATCTCGAATAGCTCAGCAAAGCCACCAACCATATCAGGAACTGTCACTATAACTTGAATTAAGCGGTCGTCAATAGCCAAACCTATAAACATTTCATTAATGTATAGCTAGGCTCTGAACTGCGCTGTTTTTGCTGTCCGTTTCGCATTCTCGAGTGTTTCCTTCTATTTTTTTAATAATACTCATCATGAAAAGGACGTCAAGTAATGGAATCCAACTCTTCACTATACAAAATAACAGATGGGTGAAAACCACGGGAACGAACTCAAAAAGTATCCCACGGTGGAGTATTCAAACAACTGCATCTAGAGAGATCACCGAACTAGCGTTCGATTGCTTGTGAACGAGGAAGACCACTAGTATTGAATTTCAATTGTCACCTTGAATGAAATCCAGCTCAAACGCGAGTTACATCACTAATACCAGCAAACAAAAAGTCTCCTACGAGGTTCAGCTCACCTTTCTCTATGGTCCGTCCCATCAAGCTGCTATCAATGTTACCACCTGACAGTATGCAAACGACTCGCTTTCCCGACAGACCTTCAATGTTTCCAGAAAGCAATGCTGCTGGTCCGATTGCGCCAGCCCCTTCAAGAACAATCTGGAAGAAGAAACAGGGTCTGTTAGAAACGAGTTTCCTAATGAGTCCCAAATCTAAATCTGAGGCAAAAGGGGGACTCACATGTTCTTCTTCAAACATTTTCAGAATTCCTATTGCTAGGTTCCCTTCTCTTATTGCGATCACTCCATCAACGATATCTAAAAACAGCATAACCTAAAAATATGTCAGGGGAAAAACAGTGAAGGTGATCACAGTACATAGTCTTTGCATTAGCTCGATCAATTTGTATGGAAGCAACTTTCGAAATATCGCGGATTTTGTCTCTCCTGCGTTTTTTCGGTTGAAAATCGATGCAGAGTAGTATTTTTCAAAATGATGTATACACTACGAAACATACAGATGTGAAAAGTCAAATTTTGCAAAAAAGAGCGTTGAAATTCTGGGAAAGACTGCTTTGAGAAGGTCTGTCCTATCGAAGACAGGACCTCCTGAAAGTGTCTTGAGAGCCTCGAAATATACTCTGTAAATCTTTCCCGAGCGAGTGCTTGTAACTCTTTAATTGTAAATTCGTACCACCCGGAGGCCAATGTATTTGTCGTCGACGGATCCATATATATGTATGTCATTGTTCCCTCTTGAGCGGCTTTTCGAGAGGACGGGAGCGCTGGGTTGGGCTCGTGCTGATATTGTTTTATTATTTGTTCTTTGCACAGCGAAGAAAACTGCTCACGCTTTGCGCTCTCCATCTTCACAGTAAATATACTAAACCACCATTTCTACTGTCAAAGCGTAACATCTTTAGCACCTATCCTGATTATCTGATGCATCGGCCAAACAGCGAACTTTTCCGCGTCGAAGAGTAACATCTTGGGTTCCACGAGCAAATTCTTCTTCGTGGCAATTCCTAAGACCGCGAATAGTGAGCGGTTCGTCCCGTATCAGGAGAACTCCCGCCGGAAGACTCGTATAGAATTTCGTTGCAGTTACACAAAATACTGATCACAAACGATGCAAAAACGCTTGAAAATCTGGTCTCCAGACACATTAAGCACGCGAAAAAGACTGATTATCCACAATAGATATCTAATATGTAAAGAAACTATATTATCACTACAAAGTGGTAGCACCGAAATAAGAGATGGCAGAGAGAACCTCATAAACCTTGACGATGAGATAAGAAAAGAGTATGAAAGTTGCAAAACAATCCAGACAAAAAGGATTTGATGATTTGACCTCATCAAATCAAAGACAAGTCCCAATCGCACAAGAAACTGATTAGTGCAGATAAGCTTTTCTTTATGCTATCGGCACGATACGGTGAATTTAAGTGCATAAAGAATAAAACGAGCGGATCACAGGACCACATTCAATTGAAGAAATCCAAAGAACTCACAGTAACAACTCACAAGCTACACCAAGTTCAGAAGTAGTCGATAGAGCGGAGAATAATGTAAGACCCTTCCGCTTCATTGGGCCTCATCAAGCTACACTGTTCAATTTTTTTGGCAGTAACGAGGATTCCCCAGAATACTGAGCGATTTTTAGACCCTCGTTTATAACAGTCATGAACTAGACATTACGGAAGATTTTCCCCTCAGGAAGGTCTTAGAGATAGAGCCAAAGCCTCAATTAAAGGAATACAACTCGTACCACGGAACTAGCAGTGGACAACTTTGCAGGTAGTTACTCAGTCACTTGCGACCAGTTCCAAACATCGATCAGTTCCTCGGGCGGATAATAAAAGAATTCATGCCGCAAATGACAAACAAAGGTCAGGCCAAATGGCCAATGGAGCGTACAAGAAAGGCTCGCAAGTACAAACTACCTAAGAAGCGCGATAATTACAGATGCGTTCCAATAACTCTCTCTTAACTTCATAACAGACTCCAGCTCCCTCGCAAAATCTGAAATCTCATGCACAATGTCAGGAATAGGAGGTCTTGTTGAATGCTTCAAAAGCCACATTGTAAAGGCAGAAATAAGCTCATTGTACGGTGAGGAACTCGAACTAAAGGCAAAATCGGTTGTCACAACGGTTTCCAAGCATTAACCGAAGCTCTGTCAATGTTACTTTTAAAGGAGGCCAGTGTCCGGCCGTCCAATTCAAAACTTTGTGAGAGGGCAAAAACCAGATATCCTAGTGGGATTAGATCAGCGCTACGAGCTAGTAACGGGTCAAATCAGCGCTGTGAGAAATCCCACTGGCCTCGTCCCCATATAGCAAGAACCGAGTTCGGACCCATCATTTTCGGTAAAAGCGCTTTAAAAGTATATAATACGAGCCCTTCTGTACCTTATGGAGTGACTTTCATTCAGGGTAACTGAACAGGATTTCCTTGAAAGTTGAAGGACTTCCCTATTTAGTGTTCCCCTTAATAGAAGTTTGAAATGGACGGGTTGGACATTATGCCTGAAGAATGCCAGAGAAACAGAAATAGGCTAGAATGCATAGCAGAGTAATCTCGAAAGATCCAATCCCACCAGAATATGTGGTTTTTGCCGTTGCTCTCAAAGTTTCAAACTGGACAGGCAAGTATGGGTCGCCTTCAAAGAAGTAGCATCGACAGAGCTTGGGTTAGCGCTCGGGAAGTCACTAGTGACAACCGGTTTTGTCTGCCATTTCGATTCGAGTTCCTCACCGCACAATAAGCTTATTTCGGCCTTTGAAAAGTGACTTTTGAAGCATCCGTGAGATGGAATCGATCAACTTCAAGGGGCACTAACTCCTACTTATGCATACCTCGCACCTTGCCTGACGAAATCTTGTGTGGAGAGGAGTGTCCCTGGGCACTAACGGATGCTAGCAACGCTACTATCGCGGCTTGCTCCTATCTACAAGGCCAAAAAACAAACACTTCATCATAATTGGTTCGTGGTTAGTCCAAACTAACTCTAAATGAGGCCTTTTAAACAATACCTAGACTGGAGCTCGATGGAATTTGCATGACAGCTCGTCTAGTCTCTACACATTATCCACCGGAAACAAGTTAAACAGATATCTATCGTTTCAGACAGCGAAATAGCACTTTACTGGCCTTGGAAAGTCCAAGAAAGCGCCTATATTTGTATTGAATTGAAGAGCGCAAATAATGAAAATCAGGGACCAAATTCAAGGAAGTTGCGTATTTGTACATTTTTAAATGTAATTACTTGTCATAATCTGGCAGACAGCGGCACAAGAGAGGATGTTTGGGTAACAAGAGCATGCAGGACTAGCTCTATCACTGAATGTCCAAGCGACCATTGAAGACAAAGGTCCCGAGAAAACTGTTGGTTGATCAAGATTTTCACAAAGCAGTGAGAACATTGTCTGTTATCGGAAAAACAATCCAAAACTGGGTGATGAAATAAAAAAAACTCACTCATCTAAAACTCATATCAGAATATGAAACAGATTTGGGGATGTCCTCCTTAGATTTCGAATTTCAATGGAAATTTCGATTAGCAAAGAAATGAAGGACGTGAACATTGCAAAATTACAAAAGCGATTCCACAACAAGAAGGTTATCAGCGACACCAAAGGCATTTTTGATCATGAGACAATTGCGATACCAAATCACCTATATTCACTACTTAACATAGTTTGAAATCAGGAGGAAGGCTCACTCTGGATATGCTCATCGTGTAAGGATCATACCTTAGCAGTTAGCATGCGACAGCGTTACCAGATATGACAAGCAGCAGCTACTCTTAAAATATGGATTGGCACTTGCAAACGGTACCGCAAGTCAGCTGTAAGAAATTAAGTGTCCACTCTCAATCGGCACATCCCATAAAAACCAAACAGACGGTGGCTAGCAATACGTTTAGAGACCAGGGATGTTTCATCCGATACTGAGCTGAAGAGGGAGTTTCTGGACATAGCCAAGAGCCTTGCTAAATGGAATCGGGCTTCCGGTCAACTCGACGGAGGTGTTTCTCACCAACAGTGTAAGAAAAAACCCAACCCGACAAAGCGACTTTTTCTCGGAAGAAGTGTGCAGATCTATCTGATCAATCGTGCGTCGGCGTGGTTTTCATGACGATGTACGGATTGTATTGGATTGGAAGGAATTACCTCCGAACACCTTCCGGAAACTTCTGTTTGCAATCGACTCTATCACACCGTGTGCGACACCCCTAATTGCGTGGTATGCCCTCAAGGCGGAGAGGGTGATTGCATGAAGAAGGGAGTGGTCTACTCTGTACGCTGTAACAGCTATGAATGCAGGTACAGAGGAGAGACAGGTCACCTATATGCGTTGGAGTTAAAAAACATCCAAATGGGCCGGATGGATCAGAATCGAATACTCTTGAGAGATCTTTGGGTTTTACCATGCAGGTTTATCCTTTGACGTCTCGTGTCCATATTGGCGCTAATTTCCGAGGTCGTAGCGCCGCAAGACACTGAAAGCCTTGGATTACGTCTAAAGACCCCTAAATGAACAAGGAGGAAGAGTGTGTGGCCATCATCCGCAAACTCGCACCCTTCCTCGACTTTTGCGACCTTTGATCTACGGAAACTTCAGTGGGAGATACTCTGATTATTAGCGGCGGCCTTCAAGATAAGCAGTGCCATGCTTCTCCTATCATACTTTCAAAGCTTACTAGTCTAGTTCAAGAACCTTACAGTTTCTGTGGAGGTATTTGAAAGAACAAGCCACATATGCTTCAGACCACTTCAGGCTCTGACAAAGGAAAGCCTGCTAAAGGTCGGCCTATAACAGATTTAAGTTTGAGGGAAGAAATCGTATGCGTATGCTTAAAAGTAAATAAACTTCTTTCGAGCTACTAAATAATCGATGTAACGCTGCGTCACAACGATTTCCCGGCGATTGTTTGGATGCAGATAATAAAAACGAGGATGCTTGAAGAAAAAGCATCCTGACTTGACTTGTCATTGCAAAAATGACGAGCATGGCTTATTCACTCTACTGTGGATGGGTGGTATTGGGAGCGGCTGGTCGGACCAGTAAAAAGGCTCCCAATAAATGGACATGGCGCAGAAGACTGAGCTTTATAGAGGTGTGCACGGATTCGACTCGCCCTAGGTCCCTCACAAGGCCAAGCCGTGATGGTTTATCCGAAACTTCATGCCCCATCGATTTTCCACAGGAAAATGTCCAATTTTCCCTCCCGCACGAGAAAGACACTGACACGAAAGATCTCGGATATAATGCAAACTGCAATCAATATGGAAAATGAGCGGTAGGAGCATTCCGTTTCTCAGAAGTACTAGCCAGCTAATTCTGGGAATACTGCAACCGGAGTAACCGGCGCTTATGAGAGAATCAGAGCATTGTCTCAGACAACCAAGCACCTTGATAAGAACCTACCACAAGATNGGTCAAATTGCATTGTTGAACGAAGCCTTATTCCAAGAGGGAATTGGTCGTATGGAACGGCAGCCGAGATGATTTTATCAATAAATGGGCTCATCGGGTCAGCAAAAGTTCTTATGCCAAATAACAGAATCATCCATCAACCGCTAACTAAATTATATTTCCCATGAAAATTCGGAGCGCAACCGAGCCATGGGCACTGCAAGTGTCACCGAAAAGAGTTTTCAACAACCTAGCAAGCAACCTATCCCACAGCAAAAATCGAAGCTCGCTGCTCGTGACGTAATACGAGATTCTAGAAATGAGCTGGAAAGTTCTCACGCGTTAGGATCCATAAATATTCCACTAATAATGGTCTCGCTTCTCGCCATAATATCACCAGCTGCAGCACTGGGCGCGAAAATGAGATTCAGCAGTACCCAAGGAAAAGTCAATATCTCATACTTCGAAGATGCTACGACGAGGAATGTTGGGACATTTCAAATCAGAATAGTTCACTCAAGCACAACCGCACCCATATCCAAGGTATCCGTTCCTGAACAACAACATTACAGTACGACTGCAACACCTAAATGATCGTGAGCAAAACGAGAAGGTTCTACTAGGTGATAGACCCAAGTTTTGCGATAGTGATTATCTACTCTCAAAGACATTACTGTGAAATCCACACTGTTGGCCACAAGGTGCCGTAGAAACGGCAACCATCTTCGTGTACATACTGGCTGTGATCCAACTTATATTGCTTTGCCACACTACCTATGCAGAAAACATTTCAGAAGCAATGCTATGAATGGCGTTCAGGACGTAGCCTTTCTGATGTAGAAGGACCGGTGTTCGAGCTGGCAATGCTTCTCGAAGTAGCAAACCCTTTTGCGTATGCACTGCTTCTACTACTGTGCGCAGCTATACCCACAGCGTTGAGCACCATCGGAACGCCAGAAATTATTAAACCGTAGAAATCAAATTTGTGAGAGTAACAGAAGTTTACACGAGATCTACAAGGATTCAAGTTCCACGTCGATAAGTATCCTGTAGGTTGGGATGCGCCGTTTATAAATGTCGAACTCTAATCACTGACGAAAGTAGAAGAATTGAAAGCAACGTGTAAGTATTCTGGATACTCGAGTTGCTTCAGTGGCTGCTGCGGACTTCATGCGGTGTTTTTTCAACATACCCACCATGTTCGTTTTGCAGAGTAGCCCACTATCAAAAAAGTTTTGGAAATCACACGATGCCCACAAGAGTTCCCTACTGTTGTGAAGCCTACGACTTAATAACATTTAGACTGTCACTGCACCGCGCGCATACCATTCGACGCGCATCACCGTGGGTGTGTGTCAAGTCGTGCGTCCGAGAGTGCGCGCGGCAAATTGCGCGGCGGAGTTCGTGGCGAATTTGGACGACTCCGGCGCCTAACATTGGGGCCCGAATCTTAAGTAAGGTAGATTAGTAAGGTCAGCTGATCCTACTATTCCACTGTACTTCGAAATTGGGCCCAAATAATAGGCGCTAAAGTCGTCAGAATAGCTATGGGTTTCGCCGCGCAATTTGCNCCCCCCATCACCGTCACCATCGATTGCGCCGTCGTCATCGAATGCCACGTGGCACTGGGGTGGCGCCGAGTGCGCACTCAACACCTTGTCCTTCTATGTCATGTCAACGCGCCGAGGTTGCTTTCTCTTCGTGTGTAATATACTCGCAACACCGTCGTCCCCGGATAGCCTCGTCCCGAAGGGTTCGGAAGCACTCAGAAGATCGCACTGCCGAAGGAAGAGGAGTAAAAGAGGCTTCAGGGTGCGAGCTGGAGAATGGAAAGTAAAGAGCTGGCAGCCGTCGCCGGACAGCTGGAGTCACCAGCAGCTCGGGAGAGAGACCGGAGCCCATGGAGCCTCGGGTCAGCGAAGGATCTCGGGGTCGCGGAGACGAGCGGTCTGTGCATGTCAGACGTCTGCCGACACAGCGTCGCTCTCATTCCCCGAGGGCAGAGAGTTCCGACGAACCCTAATGAGGTAAGAGCTTGACCCGAAGGCATACTTCGTATTTCCTGTCGTATGAAGATAAATGTAATAAACTTATTCGTATCTTTTCTCGGAATAGCCGTGATAACGTGCCAGTGCGCCTTTTATGTCGTATTTTCTACCACTTCTCGTAATAACAGTAGCTAGTAGTTTATCCGTAGAGACATATATACACCCATGTTTATATATGCACATAACTCCCTACGCACAGGGAAGCTGAAGTAGTATGCCCGCAGGGACGAGGGGAGAATGCAGGGGATGCCACACCACCTGATAGCAGTACCCTACAACACACAGTTTTTTGCTCACTTCGCGATCGGGGGGCTTTAGGCAGGGCCGCCTTGTAAGCGTGGCTAGGCGAAACATCAGCGTCCTTAATGGAGACCCCTCCGTTCACGACATGGTGCATCGGACTGGGGTTAGACGTGTGGCAGCACACGGCGAGCCTTAGTGATCGAATCTGTTGCGCTGATGGACGAACGAGGAAGCCGGAAAACACATAGACGCAACGGAACGGCACACATAATCCGGGGGTTAACAGTGGTTGCCGCGAAAGGAGTGCGAAGGGGCCCATCTCACCAATCTAGTGGTCCTGTGTAGAGCATGGAAGCTGGAGTGGCACCAGTCGGCATGTGAAGCACGCGACCCATTCCGGGCACTATGAAGCGGGAGAATTACCCTGATAAGGTCAACGCTTGTAGACAGAGAGACCTCGCCTTGGCTTCAGACTGCAGCTTCGGCCCGTTGGGTCCAACCTATTGGTCCATGAATTGAGTCTTTAGATTAGCCCGTCGTTCCTTCGAGCCGCCTGGGTGAGACCCCGGGCGACCGAAGTTGCACATTAGGGAGAGCAACACCCCGCAGATTCAATTGTTGGTTCTGTTTGTCGCACCTTCATCGTAGTTCCACCGTTAGCAGGGCTGTCATGTTTGTAGGTGTACTGCTTAGCGTGGGAAGCTACCCCCACGATGTTGCCTTCTCTAGGTTCAGATTCAGCTTTGATAGCTACTACCTTCTACCGACCATGACAACATCACTGCTTGCGAATTCAAGCTGACGAATGTCCCCACGGCAATTACAGGTAAACTTTCGCAGGGCCTGATCAAAACGTGCAGGAGTAAATTGCCTTCGACTGCCGTCGAGTGCCAGCTTCTTGCTAATCGTCAAGAACTGCTTTAGGTGCATTCGAATATCCGTGCAGTACTATATGCCGTAGTTTAACATCACAACTTCTTAGCTGTAGTTAATAGTTCAGATAATACAACTTATTGGATTTTATAGTAGATTTCAAGTTAGCAAATGCGATATTCACAATGGAGAGTCCTATCCGTGCCCTGCATATCATCTTGGAGGAAACCGTTCGCGCCTTGGAACTCTCGGGACGAGGCCAAGAAACATCTGGCAGAACGACGACAATGCAGGATACTCGGAGACGACGAGAGAAGCAGCTCGTCACAAGATTGTCGACCATCCGACGTGGATACCTTCTTCTCGGTCCTCTCTTTGAGATACGTCACCGCTCGATCTGACGAACACAGCTCCATCACGTTCGTCATTCAGCAGATGTCGTACTATCCACCGATCCACCTAGTAATGTCCATCGATAGCTCTTAACGGATGACATAATGCACTTCCAACACGTTTGAGGCGTGTTCGCCTCCGCAATTTCGTATGTACCATCGTTCGAATCGCGTGTTCGTGAATCACTTCCCACAGGACACGCGCACGTACTACGTCCATACTAGCAGTAACTCGCACTAATATCGCGGGGTCGTCTTATCTTCCTTGGAGGTGTTCGAGCCAGGCCATTTTCGTTGCCATTGTGGCCGTCCATTATGTAGACGCTACTCACGCAATCGCTCTCAGTTTCTGTGTAGGCGTCGTCAGCCATAACAGCAACGTAGACAACGTGGTCCAGGTCCGCACGACTCTTACAGGTCGGACACGATCATGATCGCACAGATGGTGCTATACCAACTAGAAGCTCGTCTTATAATGACCGCAGAAGCTATTCCATTGCGAAGGCCTACGTCGTGGGATGATCGCCGACGAGGTTATATTATGTGTATGTGCTTACTCCCCAGCAAACCTTTCCGTCAATCCGTAGATCAGCCGTTTCGGAGACACTAACTCTGGCTCTTCTGAGCTACGCGTTTTCGAAAGCGTCGCCGAATGAGTCTACGTTTGCTGCGTACACCATCTTTGTCGGTCAAAGACTGTTTTCATTGGCTGAGAACTACTAGACGTTCTAGTCGTAGTGCCGCACACCAGCGACTTCAAGCCAATAGCGACACCATCCCTATAACGTCTAGTAGTTCTCATCAAGGCCCGCTTGCGCAGCACCTTGTAAACCAGTTGGACATCAACATCCGTCCATATACGCCTTCTCCAATTCGCATACAACCCTATACGATATATCCATCTCGACAGCGCAAGATCTCTGCCCAAGATAGGGTTCACAACGCTAGGGATATATTAGCGTCCTTTCGGCATTGTAACGTCACCATCAGCCTCCGTTGTGTCGCATCATTGCGCCACGCGTGGTCTACTCACGGAAAACGCGCAGGATCATCTTTGGTGGTTAGGTCCATCAATTCCATGTTTGCCACCATCTTCAGTTTACTATTTCCGATTTCCGCTACCTTCCGGCAGCGAAACGGACTGCGAATCTGAGTCCCAAGTAGCGCATATTGCGCATAATTCGAATTTCGTCTCTGTTTACCGTTCGTCGCACTAACAGCTTGGGAATACTGCTTAGGATCACGGCACACGTCCCTCGTTTTCTGTACACGCGGATCTTCGACCGCATTCCACCGTCATGGCAAAAACGCTTAACCAACAGCGCTTCTACCGCAGGAGGTGCAGCTAAACATCAAAGGAAGTCGCACAACCGTGAACGGCAGTCGCACAGAAGTTGTTCGTCTTAGCGCATTGTGGCGAGGATGAACACATCCTGTTGCCAATACCGAATCTCGTGGCAGCACGACAGACGACATACAAACAGACCTGGAAGAGCGCTTTATAAATAGTAAAGATGAAGAACAAAAGTAATAGAATGAAATCTCATAGGCACCAAAGTTTTCAACTAACACTTTGTTTGAACTGTTTACAATGAGCTCTATTCTTCCTGTGTATAGGGATGCCTCTCCATCTCACTTCTCAGATAGAATTTTGCAGGAGGAGAAGCAGAAAAATGTTGAGGATGTCTTTGTCTAAGTCCGTTCATATCAGGAGCTTTCCCGGATAACTACAGGCTGTTCACCCTTTTCGATTTGATTCAGCAGCATGCTCTGAACTTTCTGATGAGTGATACTATTCTACGTTTATATTTTACAAGGTGGGTCCTATACGACTTCTATCTTTATTACAGAGTTGTAATGGTCGGCTAACCGGCCACTCTTTCTTTGGACAAAACATTGCTTTTCCGAGCACGAAACTTGGCACAAGACCATCAGAAAAGTGCAAGTGGTATACAGCAAGTGCTGATGCTTACGCCTATGATGAGAAGTCTCGATCTGTTGCTCTTTCTCTTGAAAATAACCACCCATCAAAGTTCAATTCTTAGGCAACCAGTACCTTGAATGGTACTCACAAATATTATCGGGTAATAATAACACCGCTATTGGGTATCGCCATTGATAGAACACTTTCTCTCTACGAGTCCGTAATTTGCTGAGAATTCTAGGTTATTGGCATTTGTAAGGATTCTACAGTAAATGAGATCGGAACAAAGAAAAACCGTGATCCTTCAGGGCATCTCAAATCTTGCCTGGTAGCGACCGTAATCTAATAACAAGAAATGAACCAAGTTCTCACCGACATATAATGTGGTACCTTTGATCGTTCCTAATCATTGCGCTCCCCATGTTTTAGGATTAGACTGGTGAATGGCTTTTGCTCTTTGATGCCAATATTCAAGAGTGAAGACTTGCCACCGACCGTCATCAGATCTCATCAGTTGCTATCAGCTGCCACAGATTACCTACGACCCTGTTGCATCCTACATCATCTATCAAAACGCCAAGGTTCCGCTGTCAACACGAAGGATGTTATAGTCCAAATGACTCTAGCCCTCTATAACTCTTCTTCAGCCCTTATCGCTTGTTATCAATCACTGTCACCAGTTATCCGTGGTATGTTCACGTTCTACACCATCTAGTAAAGAGAAAAACTATCACTGGTAACAACAAAGGTGTCAACAACCTAGCGGCTTTCGCCTTCTATGGCTCGTTATCAGTCCCCACCAGTTCTTATCAATCTCTGTCAGCAAAAATTTATGGTCTCTTCTCAACCCACACCACCTACTGAGTGGCAACGCTCCACCACCTAACTCGAAGAAGGTAACGGTTTCTGCGACTATTGCTTGCTTTGCTGACCTTTCCTTTCACCGCCCACTATTCCCATCCTATACTGTGACCAAATCTGAACTCTCTAGGTCGACGTGAGAAGGAGGCCCAAATCCCCGGTCAAATACTTATCTTGCGCTCACCCGCCCCCTTAGGGTGAAGCCCCGTGCTGTTACCAATCATTGCTGTTCCCATCTTGCCTCCTGTACTGCTAAACAACTTTAGCTCTCCAGGTCCTGGTGAACAAGCGTTACGAATTCCCGGTCAAACACTTGTTTCACGCGGGTCCCGCTCCCCGTATACGGGGTTAAGTCTCGCCACCTACAATTAATGTTCCCACTCTGCCACCCCTGCAGAATTTGAACTCTAGGTCCAGGGGACAGAAGTTGTCAGTATCTGGTCCAACACCAACACACAGCGACAAACCAACAGGCACACGTAGCGAATTATTATAGTAGGATAGTCGAGTTAATTTGTTTGGCAGAGCGACCTTTAGAGGCAGAGCCCTATCCTTCCTTTTTACCCGTAATGGATGTAATGGTTGCGATCAAAAGTAGCACTCGAATAGCGGTTGAAATGATTCAATTCGGTTCTTTGGCATAGTTCAAAGACTTGGAACATGTACTTTTAGCTGTTGAGATAAAATTAAAGTGACACTCAACTTTGTATGTGTGAAATGCATTGCAGCCAACTTTCTTCACACCTAAGCCATCAGCGAATGACGGGTGAGTTTTTACCACAACCGGCCGACCTTTCCTTAACGCCATCTGAAAGGTGAATGGTTAACGCCAAGAATAGAGCAAATGCGTGTGAAGACGAAGTGCATTAGCAAGAAATTCAAGCATATATCTTCTGAATATTTGCACTTGTCGGAATTCATCTGCGAAACATCACGTTTGAGAGTACTGAACGATTAAATAAACGATTATTTATACATATAAATCTACTCCAGCTTGCGTTATGCTCAAAATTGCAACAATATAGGGTTGGAAGGTGTGAAAGGCTTATTTCGTGTTTTCGATCTTCCTGATGAGTTGTAAAGATGATCGGAATAAAAAACGTAAGGTAATGGTAGTAAAGTAATGAGAGAGACGGGCTAATAATTATTATGGTTAAGCCGATGAAAAATGAAAAGCGATATGGAGTTCTTCCAATCACAGTAGAACTGCTATTGCTCAAGTAATAGGAGAGCGGGCAAACAATTTTCATTCTACTACGAGTGCGTAAGCGACAGCAACAAGGCGTATTCGACTGATTCCGATCTCAAGATCGCTTTCAGCCCCGACGTGACAGGAAAGCGATCTGTGGGGCGTTAAAAGCAGTGCTTCCTTAATACCGTGTATGAGTACTTGAAATTAGTTAGTTTCCATCCACTACACTTCCGACATATGTCCAGTTGTAGCTCGAGCCTACGTTGTTGTACTATCAAACAGAGGAATCGTCGTCCTCTGAGTCGTCAAAGGCCGGGGAAATTTAGGTATGTAGTAGTTAGCTACAGTAGGTTACGATTGAAAACGAGGTCACAGACACTACGTCGTGTTCGGTAGTCGAGAATTATCAACAGGTCGAAGTCTTACTTGAGTTGCGGGACATGTTTCTGACTCCAAGCCAATCACTTTTGTGTCGGGAGAGATATTTTTTACAGCCACTGTAGTGGCGGCTAAAAGTCCTCCTCCACCAACTGGCACGAGTATTGCATCTATGTCTTTTATCTGCAATTTCTCGTAGTTGTTGCCAAGCTGATTGTGTGCAAGAATGTGATTCCAAGAGCTGTAGTAGGATTTCTCTCTTTGGAACTTACGTCTTGTAGTATCTCAAGAGCTGCAGTACCCGCTCCTGCCATTACGTCTAAGTGGTCATGGCTATTGATAAATTTTCCACCACATTCCCGTGCAAGTTTGAAGGCAGTTTCAAGTGGATCGTCTTCAGTTTTACCCTGAATTTACGTATAACGAGAGTATTAGTGTAATCTAGAGATTAAATAGAACGAAACTCTATCTATTTATTTGAAGTGCTATGTGAGAATTAAAGGCACAGTTCCGATAAAAATGGTGGCTGAGTTCTTTCCTTGGGAATGGGGTGGGTAATAGGAAAGACCCTCTTATGCCCAAAGCTCGACGGTTAGGGCATAGTGGGAGCCACGTTCCCGGCTCGCGCTGACTTCCCGCCCCTCAACCAATGTTGCGTCAGACGAGTGGCGAGGGGATACAGATTGCGAGTATTCGCGTCCGGACCCACACATCTGATCGCCAAGTGGTGAAGCGGTGTTTTCTCCCATTCTTTTATTCTTTGTTGTTCTTTTTACTGCTGCGGTCCTCATTCTAATTCTCTACCTCAAGAGACTGAAAAAGGTTGACTATTTTTCCTTTGACTAGGGTTTTTCTTGTTAACGTATGCTTATGAGTGAGTGAATTTTTGCTTACCGTCAGCCCGTCGCACAGGGAACCACACGTACGCAATGACGCACAATGAGTAGCTCGTCCAGAAGCCCCACTCTTCTTCATTTTTTGAACTCATTCTTGTTCAGCCCCCTTTTTAACGATTTTTCGAGGCCTTTTTTACTTTGAAACACCGATTCACGCAATTTCTTCGCCTTTACGGCACTATTTTCCATTCTTCGCAACATTCTGGACTACCTAAAACTATCGTGAACTGTGCCTTTGAGGGTGTTCAAACTTGGAAGTATCCTATTTATCGTGTTTCCCCTATCCACCTGGGATTCTGTGTAACCGCTCCTCACCTTTATGTTCCAAGTTCCTCTTTGCTTCCAGATGTACATAAAGAAAACACGAGGATCTGACGGGGAGTATGCCATGGGACCACAGCGCGAACGCTCGAGGGACATCGTTTAGGGTCCGGTATCTTCTCCTCGAAAACGGCGCCGCGCACGCGCCGCACCCGCCGGGTATCGTAGGATTGCGATGGAGGATTGAAGCGCGCAATTTGTGAGGTAAGGAGCCCTTAAATTATTTGAATCGGCTGGCCGCTCTCATCAATTCCAATGCGGTCTTGATCGCTGCTAATGTAGGAGAATCACTCTAATTAGCCAAGTCTAATAAACATAAAAACGAAAAAGAAATAGAAAAAGCGATCAAATATAATAGAAAAGAAAGGCAATCAACGAAAAATATCGCTTCCTATCGATTGGCGGGGAGGCGAGGTGAGCACGGTAATTGCAGTGACACATGCCGCATGCCGCAAGGGAGAATGCCACAATCGGGGAGAATTTCCGTTACCCCATCGTTTATACCCAGAGTACTCACTTGTGATGTGAAATTCTGCTATCTCGAGATTTCCTATGGTTATGATGTTTGGGCGTCCTATGGATGTTCATGTCGTTAGGAAGCTCCCGTATGAAGTTGACCAATGAGCTCTTTTCGAATGTGTTCAAGCTGTCGTCGCGACTAGGCAGCGATATTAATTTAGTTACTTTTCGTTGCAATGTTCAATACTTTCAATGTTTCGGTGACTGTTTAGTGAAATTATTTTGAATTACGGAATTTAGATTTTAGCTCGAACGTAGAGTACCCAGAGTGGGGGGTTTACACGAAGGAGAACGACAAGAACTACATCGCTTTCTGCTCCTAAAAAGATCGGATAGGTGGGTAGGGAAGAAAACTAACAGGAACGGGCGTTGCAACACGGAGCTCAACCTTACGCATACTTGGCACTACAGAGATAGCTCCTACGCCTTAAGGAAAAAGGAAGAGATGCAAGGATGGAGCAGGGGGAAATCTTAGTAAAAAAGACACGAAATTAGTATCTCATTTTTCTTCTATCACAGCAACCACCTCATGACGATTTGTGAAGCGTCCTTCATTACTGTTCGACTAAGAAAACCGCCGTCTTCTCTTTTTCCCAGGTACTGTAGAAGGTTTAAAATTTGTTCAGCCATGCCATATTCCATGGCTATGAACCGACAAATCCCTATCGCGAAATTTCGCAATGTATTCCAAATTACAAGGCGAAAATGGGTCATGCTGAAATCCGAAATTCTATCGGGATGAAATTTATTAATTGCGCTCGAGCGCGCCTCTTTAATTGCATTGTAAACAGCACATTTACCTCGATTACAACATTCGCTCTATAGCTCTTACAGGCCGCAATTGTTGATAGTGAGCTGAATCGTGGCAGAACAACAGTCACTGGAACACCGAGTTTTTCACCATGAAATGAGACGGCTCGTGCGAAATTGCCTGTAGAACCAACGTAGACCTACAAAACATAAAAACTTTTTTTGTCAAAATGAGATGTGGTAATTTTGTCACAACACGAGCATATGCACTGACCCCCTTCTTGCGTTCCTCCTCAGACAGGCACAGCAACGCATTGCATGCACTTCGCTCTTTGAAGCTGCCGGTAATCTTCAAAAAACCGAATAAGGGAGGTGAAAGACAATTCTGATAAGAACGTCCAGGAAAAAGGAAACACCAAGTCAAAAGAAGAAAGTGGCATTAAGAATAACGAGATCACCAAAAATCCCTTTTTTATGTTTAATTGTTCCCCGCATACGGTTACCATTCATAATCGCAGTGGTATTACTGAATGTGGATGCAGCCTATACAACGAGTCCAAAGTCTTGGGAACATTTTTACAAACACTTTTCCAATAGAAAACCCTTTGAGCTTTATGAAAAGGTTTGATCAAAGTGTTCGGCTCTAACAGATAAAGGATGACGTGAGAATATCACTGAGGAGGGGAGCCAGTCAAACGGAAAAGTGAGATTTGAGAAAGGATTGAGGATTCTGCTCGGGATGTGGGAAAACAAAAGCATAGTGTCACAGGAAACACGCTGTTATAAGGTAGAGACCAACGCGAAAGAAGAGCTGTACAAACTCTTGAAATTATCGCCTGGCAACAAATCGGCTTTTGGGGATCAAATCGGCTTCCAATTCTTATGGAATTTCTCGATTTCTGGTTTTTTCTCCTGCAGTTCTTAATTGTTATGTTGAGTAGTATTATGTTTTGATAACATTCAACAACTGCTGATGTGAATATGTTAGAAATCCTTAGTCGTTTAGATGTTTTGAAGAAGAAAGTGTGCAGTTCTTGAAAGCGATATGAAGACCAGTGTATAATAGTTTGATTATCATATTTACATACGTTCTAAGACATTTATTAACATTAGGATTCTTGTGGGTGGTCTCAAAAGTTCGTACTCATTTCAAATCTTTCTTGTTTCACCTTAGTTTCAAAAAATGTAATACCGAGACACAAAGTACGCACTGTCATTATCAGCATTGTGTTGCCAACGACTACGCAGGGAGTGATTACTTCCGATTTCGGAATTTCGTGCTAATAAGGAGAATGAGCTTGTTCTGAAACCTTCTGATGAACAGTTCTTTCGCCTGCAAGACGGCTACAGAGAGATCAGAATAAGTGTTAGTCGGAAGGAACTGAGTCGGAACTTTGTGTAGTGTATGGAAGAGTCTTTCCCAGCTGAGTCTCACAATCTCGAGCCGTCGTCTTCTAAGCGCATGCTTATGCATTGCGGTGGAGCATAATCTGTCAAGTCCGAAAAAGATAGCTGGAACTTTTGAACTCAAGTTCGTAGCTGGATACAGCAGATATCGCTTATGTCCATTTTTTGAGAGGAAGGAGCTCTCAGTGCCCCTTCTGATTGATCCGCCTAGTGATGCCTCCAGTTGTGATCTAGATGGAGGCACCACTTTCTATCTCTAGGGATAACGTTGTGCAACCGATCCTTTAGAGGGAGCGGGAGAGATGATGTAGACTATACTTCACTTCCGAGAGCTGGTCATCTCATGAGCAATCCGCTCATTACTTCAAGACACACTTACTTTACCAATTCTTGAAGCAGTCGCGCGTTGTTGCTAAGATACGAGCCCACTCCGTATGGATCTGCTTCGATCAGAAAACGTAGCCGATTCAATACAATACGCGCGATCTTATTTCACTCCTGCCCATAAATGTAATTCTCCCTCACAACTCAAGCCATAAGCATTGAACATATGCTGCAACCAATTACCTGACCCAATGGTTCCTGAATGATCATTTGATTTGTACGAGTATTAATCCTCATCGAGAATCCACCTACGAATCGTGCTGTGGAAGTGTGTCAGTTGGTGAAACAGCATTTCCGCCCTATGTCATACTTTTCACCAGATTAAGAGCACTGAAAAACACTCTCTAGTCGCAGGGGGTTACTAGGAGCTTCTTTTACGGTCTGGAAAATGCAAGTGTTGATGTAGGCTATCTGTGGGTTAGTGCACCCTTTTCGGGAAGTAAACGGTTGAGTTTTCGACAGAGAGATCGATCAAATAAGTAATATAAGGTCATCTCAGAATCTCGAGAGTGATTCGAAAACTCTCGATGAAACTAGGCTCTGACATAATGGCATCAAAATAGTAATCATACTATTTTCGAGAGATCAAGCCTACTGGAAGCAGCACCTCGAACTCAACTGCTCAGAGAAATAGAGTCCGCCCACCGCACTACCATGGCTGCATGTGGTAAGATAGGGTGTTCCTTACCGAAGATTTACAATCGAGATTCTATTTATGGGGTGAACAGCAGACATTTCTAACAATTCCTTTATTCGGCTCTCTTTCGATGCGTTTCAGTGAAGTGAGCTTCTTACGAACATGTCGAATAAGCCTTCACAGGGGCTATCACCTTCATTGAAGATTGCCAGAAGCCCTTCGAGGCCACCTCGGCAGCTTTTCACACTCATTCAATCACCTCTTCCTGATCACTTTAAAAGCCCCTTATTTCGCGGGAGAAACAAGTGCGTTTGTCAGAAATCACACATGGCTGCGAAGATCTGTCGGTAGTTTTGTTTGTAGAGTGAGGCTGAATTAGGTGAGCGGCCTGCGTCTTGAAGGAAAATGCGCCGGAATCCGAATCAAATAACGTGGTTCAAAAAATATCGGCCAATAAATGGAATTCTGGAATTGAATTTGAATTTGAGTGTAAGAAAAATATGGCAACGTTCATTGAGGGTCCAACGTCCATTGGACTTTCATACTGTATTCTTAACTAACTCACATTACTTTCTCAGCAACTGGGTCCGTCACGTCTTTTCTGTTAATAGCGGCACCGTGACACTTTGGAGTGCGATGTGGGATGGAGCACGGATTGTAGGTGGGGTGACAACAATAGATAATAATTGCAAAAAAAAGCAATAGATCTGAGACGTCAGTCGAATGAAACTGCATAGAAGTGGCTTGAGAAAATGGGCCTTTTTTGTAAACTACATATTGCAACTATTATTCGATGACTTTCAAGACTTTCACAGTGATAAACTCAGAAGACAATCTTTGTCACCGAGATCTTTTCCTTATCTAATATTTCACCTATTATAAACAAAAGTTAATGTCCCCAGCACTATGACTATAGCGCACTAATATTATCCAGAGTGGTATCCAGAATGGAGCTCCGCTTTACTCTGGCCTACTCTAGCCATGAAACTCAAATAAGCGAATATTCATAGATGCCCGGTATTTTCCGAGCAGCAATGATAAGAATTATTGGTTGAGAAGTAGATTGATAAAATGTGGTGCAATTTTTAGGCCCTGAGCCATGTACAACGACAAGAAGGCAGAAACATATGTTTCAAAGCTTTCATTCAGCACTCCTTCATGAAGAAGTGACAAGTCGGAAACTAACGCCTACTTTGATACTCTTCCTTACCCGTAGAAAGCTTTGTGGTATGGAGGAAAAGCTAATGAAAGCCGTTTGATCAATTGTTTCTTCTTGGGGATTCATAGGTAAAGAAAAAAGTTCGTGCGGTTTTGCAAGTAGATAAATAAATATACGAAAAACGGTATAACTAAAGTTTATTTCAAAGAATAGTCTCCTTGCACAGGAATGACTTTCTCCCATCGTGAAGCAAACTGGTATATCCCATTTTTGTGAAAGTCCTGTGTTTTGAAGCTAAAAATTGAAAAGGAGATAGTCCTTTGGGTCAAAATCTGGTGAATACGGAAGGAGAGGAACAATCTCCGATTGTGTACGTGCTAGAATTTCCCGATTCTGTGATTCTTGCTTTGTGCGATCTTTCGTTGTTCTGGTGGAAAACAACACCTTTTCTGTTGGCCAAAGCTAGTTGTTTTTGGCGAAGTGCAACCGAAGCTCTGCCCAATTGGGCTGAGTATATCTCAGCAGTAATGGTTTGTCCACTTGATAAGAGTTCATAGTGAACAATACCTGCTGTAGTCCACCATACACACAGTAAACTCTTTTGTTGGTGTACGCTTGGTTTAGGAGTCATCGGCACTGGATCGCTACTGGATAGCCAATGATGTTTGTTGCGCTAAATAATCCATTCTCGGCCCACATTAGCATTGGTCAAAACATGGCACTAAATTACGGCGGGAAAGCAATGAAGAACAAGTGCTTAAGCGCTGTAGCCTGTTTGGTTCACTCAACTCATAAGGTACCCATTTGCTCAAGCTTCTCCAGATTTGGTGCCAAGTTTGAACTCGTAAAGTCAACAGGCGCGAATTATTGCATTCGACACAGCCATTCTTGTTGTAGAGGTCCTTGTGTACAGTCAAGGAACGCCAGGAGACGTGAAGATTTATTGGAAAACCGTGTACCTAAAAACCTCTGAGTACTAGTCTGGCATAACTACGTACATTGCGTTTTGCAAAGCACATTTCAAACTTAAAACGCAAAACCTAAACTTATGAGACACACTAAAAGATTCTGCATAAAACAAGCTTCAAAGCATATGCAATGTTACCCACCTACCACATNTCGTCTTATAATGACCGCAGAAGCTATTCCATTGCGAACCTCGAGGCCTACGTCGTGGGATGATCGCCGACGAGGTTATATNCGGCGGGAAAGCAATGAAGAACAAGTGCTTAAGCGCTGTAGCCTGTTTGGTTCACTCAACTCATAAGGTACCCATTTGCTCAAGCTTCTCCAGATTTGGTGCCAAGTTTGAACTCGTAAAGTCAACAGGCGCGAATTATTGCATTCGACACAGCCATTCTTGTTGTAGAGGTCCTTGTGTACAGTCAAGGAACGCCAGGAGACGTGAAGATTTATTGGAAAACCGTGTACCTAAAAACCTCTGAGTACTAGTCTGGCATAACTACGTACATTGCGTTTTGCAAAGCACATTTCAAACTTAAAACGCAAAACCTAAACTTATGAGACACACTAAAAGATTCTGCATAAAACAAGCTTCAAAGCATATGCAATGTTACCCACCTACCACATCCAGTTTTTTTATATTGCATAGGAATGATCAATTGGAAAAAACCGCACGAACTTTTTTGGTTGCCTAATTTTTTTGCAGATAAGGACCACCACAGAACAGCCTACCTGCGTATTTTCCAGTTTCAAAAATACATCACATCCAGCAGCATTTGAGAGGAAACGAGAATGTTGGCATTTAGTGCGGACAACGGCATTCTATAAAAGCAATGGTAAAAAGGTAATGCAGTGAGTCGATTTCGACCGAAAAAACCCAGCTAAAAGCGTCTATAACAGTAGCACCTTTTCAACAGGAAACCGTAAAAACGCTGAAAGTGGCGCAGGTGCAAGTCGATCGGATGGTTCAAGGCGCAAGTCACGACATTTCTGAGCCATCCAGCTTCAGGTGAGTACTGGACGTCATAGTTCAAAATTAGTCAAAAATGGAAAAGAAAACGCGTAGTTCGGCGTATGAGAGAAATATAAGGCTCCAAAAAAGTAGTAAGGTTAGGTGTTGGACGAGAATGTGACGACAACTGTTGCATGGAGGGGTATTTGGAACAACTGTAGGAATTCCCGTGTCACTACATACAGCTGGCTCGAAGCTTCCAGAATTCAACGACGCGTGGCTCAAGCTGGGTATGAGCACCTTACTCGCGCTGATGTTCTCAGCCACACGTCACTGCGGTCCTTTTCGGAGCAACCCCCGACGCGGTAAGTGCGGGAGCCTGCTGGACACGGGCACTGGGAAAGATATTGTGGAGCGCAACTGCCCTCTCCCCATACACCCCTGCAAATACTACCTCCCTATGCCAGTATGTGCGTGTTCCGTCATAGAAAATAAACAACTGTCAAAACAAATACTATACCACATGACACTGCGACTCAAATGAGTATGCGTTATATAAGGGCCTTACCCATCAAACTATCATCAGTAAAACAGGCATAAAGATACTAAGTTTATCTTCATAAAACATGCTCCTCTAGAGGACTTCGGCACTCGCCTCCCTCTGGGGAGGAGACGACAACGGTGTCCGCAGAAGTGTGCCACGCACGGACCGTGTGCCTCCGCGCCCCCGAGTCCCCTCGCTTATCCCTGAAGCTCCTCTCGGTACGTGCGTATTTCCAAAGCTGCAGATGGCACCAGCTACCCGAAGGCAGCCAGCAGCTGTTCCTCCGTCCATGGTCCTCCTTGTACCTCTGATCTCCTTCCTCCTTCCATCCGTGGCAGTGCGGTGGTACTGGTGCCTGCGTGTAGTTATCCCACTTTTCGACGAGGCCGGATGACCACGAGAGCTGCGAAGACGACGTTACGCTAGAAGACGAGCCGACCGAGCGTTATCATTGACATGGAGAGAATGGCAGAGATGTATGCCCACTCCACGCCCCGCAGGACAAATTGCATTCAAGGCCGCGTGAGCCGTAACCACCGCCCAGTAGAACTATACTGGGCTGCAGTATGAACTGTGTGCAAATGGTGCAACCTCTACACTTTTCACAACGTTAAACAACTCGTCCCCCTTGGATGTATACGCCTTAGCCGGCTTTGAGAACCTTGATTACGCCCTATCCTGGCTCTGTTTCGATCCCACAGCGACAGGCTATCCCAGAAATCATTTTTATTGTGCCTCCAATACGTGCCTCCAATAAAGCACGTTAGCCACAATCAAGTAAACAGTTGTGAAAGAGCCAGTGATGGAGATACAATGCCACTCGAAAGACCCCGTCGAGCTAGGAGAGAGCGCTGGGTAAGCACCTACAATAGTGAGATTGGAGCATCAACGTAGGTACGGTAAATCGACAGTCTCAAGAGGTTCCAGGTCGTGGGTGTTTCCTGACGGTAATTTCTAACTGCCCCACACATCATTTAGAAATTAGTTGCGGGACTGCTTTTCCTCTAGGTATACCTCTACGCCGCATTCGGAAGGGAAAAGAACAGGCACCACTGATGTTAGGAAGTAGCGCAGTTGCTAGATTGGTGGTGGACATGCAAGTACGGCATCGAGGTCCCAATTCCTTTATACGTACTCTCACTTTGTTTTTTCATGAAACATGTAATTAATGCTTGCGAAAGTCTTTCACGCTTTGTAATGACTATGATAGCTTTCCTTCATGTTTCAAAAGCACCGGGAAAGTTCATTCAAAAACGATTTTTCCCTCCACTGACTGAAACCAAATGCACTTTTAGTACTCCGAACACCTAGGATAGAACACCTTCCGATAACCGGAGCGCTTGCTTTAGACCTATTCCTACAAGAAGTTTTTTGCTGGTATTTAGCGTCGTTTGATAGATGCATTCCGGACACGATTTATACAGAACCTCCTTCCTCCAAATGCTTCAAAGACCGAAGTCTAACAGATCGATTTCGTCTCATTTCGTCCAATTATTTATAATCACATAAGACGAATGGGAATAGACCAATTTGAAAGGCCAGAATTTTTCTCGATTTCACTCAAGTTATACACGTGGCATTCAATCGCCATGGCTACGGATCTCCTTCTCTAAGGGTTTTCTCTCAGAGTATTTCAGCCGGTTAGTGACGAGGCCACGTAGGGCGCCTGCAGATGACGGGCAGGGGAGTAAACCAAAAGTCGCCGGTACTTGTCTAGAAAGATAGGTAGATTCAGAGGATGAACTCCTTGATTTCGCTGTGCTGAGCCGGCATACACACCTTCGGTATCTCGCAAGCGTATCGATGCATAAGTGTAGATTCTTCAGGTGCAGTTGATACCCTGCCTATCGATTCAGCCAAAAGCTTGCATTCGAGTGTCTGTGAGGGATCCGGGATTTGGGGCTACATCCAGATTCGAAGCCCTTCCTTCACTCAGAGATAGCGTGGCAGCTAACCGTAACAAATATGCAAAAAATAGTGACGCAGTAGGCCTCATTCCCCTGAAATTAAGTGGTACTGCTCGGAAGAGACTGCTTAAATCTCAGGACTTAAACAGGCTGCCCAAAAGAAGAACGACTGAAGAGGCGATTTGAAGTTCAACGCACCAACGCTTGCATTGGAAACGTGTATAGTACATCCAGTGCAAGCCAGGAATGTCAAGCATGACTTGCCCGCTACATGCTGTATTCGAGTTTGGATAAGGTTTTTATCGGAACCTGCGATAGGAGATGCGCCGTCGCCGCAGGTGGCCATAAACCTCGCTTTGCACGAAAGCCGACATTCCAAGCAGGACTTTTGGGATTCAGCGATTGTGGTTCGACTTCAGCATCCTCGGTGATTCCAAAATTGACCCCAGAAGAACGGCTGAAGATACTCAGAAACGGAATGGAATGAGATTGGTGAGAGACAGTCAGAGTTTATCATGTCGACTCGCACTCACCATGGCAACTCGCAGTTCCACAACTCTCTCGTTTGCGATTGACATGGTAGTCAACTGGTGGATAATCCGATTATGAATTAGACCTCACGAATGGGATGAAGTTGCTGCTTTTTCGAAGTTCCACACTAGATAGGAAACCCTCCGCGCTAGGCTCTGTTTTTCAATGAGAAAAAACATTAAGTACAACGTCAATGAAGAATGCAACCATCTCGTCGAACATCTTCACAACAGTTTCAGGAAAGGAGAGAATCACAAGTAGCCGAAGGTCGTCTCTCTTTAAAGACTCTGAGGCTTATACGACGTCGTTGAATCCCTAGAGCTACAGGCATTCATGAAGAAACGTCCGAACTTGCAAAGCCATGCAGAGAAAAGATAAAGAAAGATCTGAAATAGAGATGAGCAGCAGTTATGGACGAAGCCGCCGAGGCCGTAAAGAGCACTCGCAAAGCCCGATGGAGCTTCGCCATTTACAAGATGGCCTCCATTCGTCCTCTGACGGAATACTAACTGCGTCTCGAGGGGCAGTAGAGAAAGCTTTTGCTATGTTCTCTTCAACCCCCACGTATATCCCCCTACTATCCGAGGCGAAACGAATATATCGCCCCATCAGTTCTCATTTCCAAAATTCGGATGCCATCACGTCGATGAAAAATATTACTGCGCCCCGTCCCGGAAGTATCAAACCAGGACATCTAGCAAGTTTCCCACCAGCTGTCATCAAAACTCTGACACTAGGCTCTTCACGCAGTACTTCCCGGAAAGCAAAGTGTCCGCTTCGTCGAAAACTTGCAAGACAGTGTTGCTGTATAAGAAATTCCAACAAATCTATTACCCAATCCATCTGTAATCCACAAGCTTTTCACGTCATCCTGAACAGGATCGACAAAATATCAGATGAAGGTTCGCCATTCGAGCAAGCAGGGTTCCGGAGAGGGTTCAGTACAATCGATCACATCTACACTCCTACAAAACTCATTGAAGCATCGCGAGAATACAAGATGCCGTTGTGTTTGACGTTCACCGATTTAAAGAAGGCTTTTGTACTGTCGAGAGCGGTAAGTGAAGCTCTGGGCAACAAGGGAGTTCAAACTCGATACATAAGGATGCTTCGTGAGCTCCA